CTCCAGCCACAAGAGGGGCCCTGCCTCCCTCTTCTCGAGTCCTGGCAATTAGGAGAAGGGCTGTCGAGTCTGATCTGAGAGCCTGAGTCCCGCTGGAGCCCAGAGCCCTGCTCTGTCACGTCTCTCTCCAGTTGTGCAGTGCCTGGCAGAGCCCTGTCAGCTCAGCCCAGGCGAGGATCAGCTCAGCCCAGGCGAGGAGCAGCGTGGTGTGGCACATCCTGCCACGAGACTGAGCTCCAAAGGGAGCAGGGATGTCACACAGCTCTCATCCCCAGGCTGCTGGGGAGCATCTTGGGAAGAGGCCAAGCGAGAGAAGGCAGGCAGCTCTGTGCACATCAGCTGGGAAGGCACTGGGACTTCGTGGCTCTGAATCACAAGCAGGTGCATGAGACAAACATAATGGGGGGTGCTCGGGTCTGATCTTCAATCAATTAGGGAGTCAGAGAGCAGCAGCCTTCTGGGAGGTAGGAAATAGCTTTCCACTTAGGAAGGCAGGCAGAGGGAAGGCTGACAGTGCCAGCCATTAAGGCTTCATGGAGGTCAGTAATTTCCCTATTAGAAAATGGGTGCTGAGCAAGGGGAAGGCTGGAAAGCTGTTCAGAGAGGTGAGAGGAGGGCAACTCATCCTGTCTGGGCTCCATCCAACGTTCCTGTGTGGACAGGGGCAAGGAGACAGTGTCCCACCATTCCTTCAGTAAGCACCTTCCCTCCAAATGCTCTTCCCTGGTTTGAAATAACTCTAATCCCACTCCAGGTGTTAAACACTGGGGTCACACTGCTGACACAGCCAGAGAAGGGGGTGGGGGGGAAGTGACCTAAAAACAGGATGAAGGACTTGAAGGGCAGGATGAGGTTCTCCAGAAATCTACTTCTCGTTGCACAGACACTGTTACAGGACAGCTTTTGTTATTTCTCCTCAAAATGGCTTTTATCTCAGTTCATTATTTGGCAAGGAACCCAGCCCGTTGTGTGCTCTCATTGTACAATCTGCTACTACTTTTGCTCCCAATTCTCTTTTTTTTTTTATTATTTTTAGTAAAAGAATTTCAAAGGCAGTTTTACCACACGTATCCATTTGCACCTCTCCTGCCCATTCCTCAGCCCTGTGTACGTGTTCACTGATATCCCACAAGGGCTCCTTCAGAGACAGGTCAGGTCAAAAAACTTTCACCATTTTAACAGGTGTTTAAGCATTACTGCCTCTTATTCTTAGCCACACCATCACATTTTGCTGGGGACTTAGCCAAAGCTGCTCCTAACTCACCCTGTTAAATCTCAGATGCTCTGATTGCATTTCTCCTCTTCTCTTTCCCTCCCCTCCCACACTAATGAAAGAGGCCAGTCTTTAAAATAGAAATTAAATTCATGCACCCACAAGACAATGCTGGGCTTAAATCCAACAGCATGTGAGGATCTTTACTGTTAAAGCTGAGCCTTATTCTCTGGCTGCACTGGCTTTCATCTCCTTGGTGTTTCTTGGGATAACATAATATCCTTGAAGGCAGTTTTCACCTCAGGGTGGAAAAGCTCCCGAGCTGAGGTAATGCATTTATCAGTGCTGGTTGGAACCTCCCTGCGAGTGTAAGGAAGTTAATGCTCTCCAAACTATTGCAGGGCAATGGAATCTGCAGCCTCCAACTTAGAATCTGGGAATCATTAAGGCTGGAAAAGCCCCTCTGTTATCACCAAGCCCAGCCTTTCACCCAGCACTGTGTTCTCCACTAATCCCTGTCCTCAAGTGCCACATCCACACGTTTTTTGAACGCTCCCAGAGATGGTGGTTCTACCACTTCTCTGTATGTCTTATTTGGTGTCTAGGATAACCCAGAGATGGGTAACAAAAGAGAAGACTGGCCTAACTTTTAGTTCAGCTTGTTGGGGAGAGGCAGCTTAGTTAACTGCCTGTGAGAAAGGAAAAAGGCAAAGCTGGGGTTTTTTTGCCTTAATGAAGACAAAGTTTCTACCTGAATTCTACCCTACATAGTCCTTGCAGCAGTGCAGCTATGCCAGTATTATTTTGGCTAAAATAACTGTACAGGTGACATTGGTACAGAAATGCCCAATACTGACACCATTCTTTTTCCCCAAAGAAAAAATGATGTTCACAGCCAGACAAACATCCTCACCAGAGAGTCAGGAAAGCTGAACCAAACCATGGGAGTTTAGACAATGCAACTGCTGCACGTAGGCAGTGTTGTAAGAGAGCAAGATCTTCAGGAAGCTGAAATCTGATAGGAAGAAAGAAGATTTTTCCTCTGCAACATTGTCCCAATAACCCTTGGAGCTGAGTGCCTGGAGTCTGTGTCAGCACAGTGACACGGTTTTGGAAGGACGTGGTTGTGAAATCATTTGGCATCCACTGAATGCACTGACTTCAGTGGGAGCTACAGGTCTCTGCTCCTTTCTAGGACTGCAAGAACCTGCCAAGGCAGGTTTCCTCTGCCTCAGATCTCCTCTGAAGGCCACCACCACGGGCAAGATCACAGAGGAAATCGGTGTCAAAGGCGAAGGTGAGGGACCGGCCAAGAAACTAAACTTCCAAGTCCTTTTCTAATCCCCAGAGTCTTTTCTTCAGACCTCAGAGTAACAGAAAGCATTCCCTCGTGCCAGCAGTGGAAGGAAAAACAGTCAACACAGATGAAATTGGGAGCAGGAGAAAGCAGAAAAGGCACCAATGTTGAAAGTAGTGAGGCAGGTGTTTATGATGGCACAGGCACACAGGGGGGGCAGCCAGGGGTGCAAAAGAGGGAAGCACAGGTTTGCTCAGGCCCTGACCTTGTTTTCCTATCACAGTTTAACCTATTTCTTCCTCTCAGTGGGGGACAATAAACCCTCAGCCCAATCCATGCCCATCAGGGAGGACACAACAGGTGAATTAAAGCAGAAAGCAGATGGGCACTGTCTCTGCCGGGCCCCAGCTGTCGTGTCTGAGCTGTCTCGCCTTTATGCTGGGCTGTGCCTCCAGAGCCAGCCCCATCCCACCTTCCACCCCACTCCCTGCCTGCTAATGACACTGGGATCACAGCCAGAGCCTGCTCCTTCCAGCAGGGCTGAGCAGGAGTTGGGCCAAGCTTCCCATTCATGGCTCTGGAACAGCTGGAAACGGCCAGTCCTCCCCCTCTTTGGGACAGGGGCACCCATTTCCAAGGGACAAAATGCTTGGAAGTGCTGGAGGACTGGAGCAGTGGATGTTCCCTGCCTGGGCACCAAGCACTGAATTTCTTTCCTCCTCTTCTTCATGCACTCATCAGGAATGCTGCCTGCCCCTGTTTGCTCCAGCTATTCCAGCTTTCCCCCCCCAACACACACACACACTGCATCAGAGCTCCCAGGAAAACAAAAAGGAGAGCAACTGTACAAAAGCAATTAAGAGCCTAATCTACTTGGTAAGAATCCTGTCCTCCTCTGAGGAAACAAGACAAAGCTTAAACAAGAGACCTTCAGACAAACTGATTGAGAACTACTGGAGAGCACGGCAATACCAGGCTGGGGGACCACTGCCTAATAACCACTAAGTATTTTTCCTTCATTTCCTAATAACCAAGGCAAAGCAATTACAGTAATTAAAGATTTAAGATAAGAGCACTTTATATTTGGGGGGCCCAGCATATCAATTATACAGTTATCATGTTGTTCTCCCTCCTAATGAGACAATCTAGCACTATAATTTCGCAGCATTAAAAGCATAATTAAAGGGGGCAGGAGAAGAAGGGCAGTTTACCAAAACTGATTAGGAGGGTTTCCTCTCCTCAGTGGCTCCTGTGCACACACACAGCACAGATGCATTCCCCAAACACCCTTCCATTTCCAAGAGATAACCCTGGAACATGGCTGTTGGACAGCTGCAATGATAAACCCAGGCTTTAATTACAGGAGGGTTTTATGGGAAGAGCTGGTTGCTGGTTTTGTTGTTTTTCTGCTGTTTTCTCCCTACTCCCAAGCTCTTGGTTGCTGAATGTACCAGCATCTGTTGGAAGGTAAGGGGGAAATAGCTTATCTTCTCAGAGGCAAGAAACACATAAAACATAAGGAAAGCAATTACATGCCTTCAGTTCCCACTCCTCTGTTTTTATAGGGCTTGTCTTAGAATCTGAGTGATTTTATGCATCAGAGGGAGATGACAATCAAGATGAGTGGCAATGATATGCATGGGAGGCTGAGGCACAGTGCCTTTAGGTATCTATTTTCCTGTAGTTACAGCTTTTCTGAACTTCCCATTTTTTTCAGAGGGATGAGAGAACCCAGAATTTTGCAGCTGAATATTGTGGGCACTCAGACCACACATGAGAGCCCAAAGGATAGTTACCATAATATAACTTAAAACAACCCCTTCTCCTCCTCCTCCAATGCTGCACAATTCCAGGAGAAATGTGAGTGGTACTGGGAAAAACAGGATCAAAGTATGTAAGTACTGAGGTGAGCCCTCACCTGAGTTACTCTTTCCTTCATCACTTCTACATCACTACTACAGAGGTTCTCAGGATGCTCTTTCACACTTGTACTTCAGAACATAAAATACCACACGCTGCTGCTCCACACCTCCAACTTTGCTTCCCAACATTGAATTACCCAGTTTATATTACATCTGAATTTGGGGACAACTGAAAGCAAAAGGCAGGATTCTGGACCCATGCACTGCTGGGTATTTTCAGACAGCTCTGTATAAGCCCACAGACGACTTTTTGGTCATGCAGTTCTTTGGCCACAAAGGCACAGAGGGCTGGGCAGAGAGTGAAACACAATTTACAGCCTGCAAATCCAGATGCCTTGAGGGCAAACACGAGGCCACACAGAGCCCCACTCGCCCCAAACAGGGGTGAGTAAAGAGAAAAAAAAGACCCAAGTACTCTTTCTGAGCTCTAATGTGGCATTTACACTCTGATTTCAGGCCCTGGGGGTCACTCCACAGGGCAGTGTTGGCTCTCAAAGGCTGGTCACCTGCTGCCCAGTTCTCTGTGCCTTTGCTCCTGCACTTCAGCACTCCCCGGCAGGAAAAGTACCTTCTTTTCATGATACTGATGTGGAGATCCTCCTCCTGCTTTACTTCGGGGTGCTGACCATTGCTCTTGTCGCTCTCTTCGCTGTCGTCGCTGTGGGAGAAAATCGAGGTGAGCTCTTTCTTCGGGATCCTGGTGGGAGGTAAAGGGATTGTCCTCTTCTCTGCCAGGCGGCCCCGGTTCTGGAATTAGTTGCAATGGGAAAGGGCAAGAGGAGGAGAGAAGAAAACAAAGGATTTGGTCAGGAAACTCAAAACCAAGGAGCTCCTCTCAAAGAGCTGCCCTGAGAAGGCAGCACTGTCAGTCCCACTGTTAGGGTGGGTGGGCAAAGGCCCTGCTCACTTTGGAAAAGGCTTTGCAGCAAAGGCACAGCTGTATCTAATTCTTCTAGTTCTAATCAAGTCATGCCCTTCCAGCCTCTCCCACCTCTTCATTCCTAGCTTGTGTCTGATCCACATCGATAGGAAAGGGAGATGGCACCGATCTTTCTCTCCAGAGTATTTCCTACCAAACATTGCACATTAACACAGTGGAGTAAGTTCAATTAAACCTCTGCCAGTAGCCCTGGGAAGCCATGATCCAGATAATCCAGAGTACTTCTGGCTGTAAAGAAGGAAAACTGCCTGTGCCAGCCAGCAGCAGGTTCCTCTCACACCACTGAACAGTCCACAGCAACTTCAACCTGAATTACTGAGGCTACTTCCCACTGCTCATCTGCATGTTGAGATGGACTGAGCCTTGCAGAGATGTCCCTCAGTGCTCCTCCCTCACCAACTCACTGGGCATGGCACAGCTATGCAGGAGGAGAACTCCCAGGAGGCCTTTTTCTTCACGTTTACAGAACCTGGCACAGCATGAGCCTGGTCCCAACCTCCTCCTCCTCTCTTCAAGAAGTGAGATGTATCACAGACCACCCTGCCCCTGCAGCCTCTGTGCCTGATCCACAAGAAGACACAAACCCAGTGCAGCCTAAGCCAGACTGTGCTGGGCTTTAGCTCCCACTGGGATAGAACAGGTTTTTAGGATTGGGGTGTTTGGCTCCATCTGTGACTGACCAAGACAAGAGCCATAACATGAGCACTCCCAGTGGAAGATGTACACTGGAAACCCGGGGAGACTGTGGTGTCATTGCCCCCACCCCCCCAACCCATCCCAGAATCTAAAATTTTAGCAAACAAAATGGTGAAACTGGGATGGGAACCACAGCAGGGGGAGGTGAAGCACATTCATGTGCACGTGCTTTGTACAGGAAGAAAGGTGTGTGGAACAGGCTGAATAAGTGCAGAGTAACACTGAATTAATAACAAGTTCCTCTGAAACATCGATTCCAACTTTCCAAGTAAACCTGGCAAAACACAAAGGTCCTGGGAAAGCCAGTCAGGCTCTCTGCAGGGGAGAATCAGGAACACTAAATGATGGAAGAGCCCGTGCTTTTTTTAATTAAATAAATTAAGAACCCTCCACAAACACAAAACAAAAAACTTGTTTACCTCTGTCAATAAATTCCAGTTGTGCTCATTAAGGGGAGTCCTAATCGCTGTGATAATTAGCTAAATCCATCTGGAAGGCATCACCCCAAGGAGCCACGTTAGAGCTTTCCCACCCTGATGCAGGTCCAAGCCAAGAATGCAGCTGTCTGTGAACAGCAGACACCCAAGGGAGAGCAGAGCAGTGGGCCAAGCTGGCACAAAAACGGGAAAACACGTCCACAAGGAGAAAGACACGCACTTTGTACGCTCTGTGTGTGTCTCCAACCCTCATGTGGGAGGTGCATTTCCACCCCTGCCCCTCTCCTGCTCCAGTGCAAACAGAGAATGTGCACCAAGTTCATCCTCTGCCCAAAGTCACCTCGGGAGCACGGACTCCCTCGGAGCCAGAAGGACAGCAGGGAGGTGAGGAGAGAAAGGGAAAAGCGAGGGGATGGAAAGGAAAAGCAAGGAGGGCAGTGTTTGCACCGGATTTCTGTCATGGACCAGCATGAGCCTCATCACCCAAAGCTTTCTGTGTTTTTCAGGAGTTGCAATTAAAGGGGACGGGGAGGGAGGGGGGTGCAAATTTCTGCTCCAGAATAATTGGAAATCACTCTCTGCTGTGGCTTTGCGGGCTAAAGAGAACGGCACAGATCAGACACTAAAAATCATTTTATGGCCATTATGGCACCTCGGAGCAGTTAGCAGGTCTCAGTGACTGCCCAGGGACTCGTCAGCCCTGAGCAGAGTGAGAGTGCAGCAAACAGGGAGGCACTGAGCCCACGGAAACAGCCCCCAGGCCACAGCACAGGTCACCCCTTCCCCTGCTCCTCAGGGTGCTTTTTCTTTGCTTTTCTCTAAACTGTACCCTTACACCTAAAGCTGCTGCATATGCACATACATATAACATAGAGATATTGCAAATGTACCTATACAGGTAACACCTAACACATCTTCCCTTAAAAGGCAAATAAATGAGTGTGAATGGAAGAAGAGAATTTGCATCTGCAGCGACCTCTGGTCACAGGTGACCTGCCCTGCTTTTGTAGGACGACACTAGAACCAGAGTGGTTCCAGTGTTCCTGTAAGCCCCAACATTCCAACCCCAGCAATGCATTTATTTTTTTAAGTTCTGTTTACTCTGTACTTTGCATTTTTTTTTGCCATCAGGTTTGGGGTGCTTTTATTTATTTATTTATTTACTGCGTCTCTCAGTTTGCAGAAAATTAAAATAGACTGAGCCAATCAATTTTGCCTTTTATATTCATCTATAGTCAGTTTTGAATCAATTGCACTTTCTTAATCTGTTTAGAGGCATTCACCAGTAGATACACATTACTTTTAAATTAAGCACAAAGGTAGCCAGAAGCCTGGCCCAGAACCTGCTGCAATCAATTGCCTTTCCATTGACTTCAAAGGGCGCTGGTCTAAGCTGCAAACAAAACAAAAAACACACTCCAAAACACACACAGGAATCTTTCCTGGGTTTGCTGAATTTTTTTTTTCAGTTGGACAGATAGATTACAGAACATCAATGTACCTGCAGAGGTGAGCAGTGGGTTGAGATACCTACAGTGACTCCAATTCAGGGTTATCAAGTAGCAGTGGCGAGTGGCAGCAGGTAGTAAGGTCTGCACTGAGCAAGAACACCCCTAGAGATTGCAGTGGCATCACCAGATGTGGGGAGGTACGTTAGGATTTACAGGTATTCGGTGTAAACCTCATAATCTCTCATTTAAAAAGCTTGTGTATGGGTGGCAGTGTCACTGCATTGATCTCACACAGCCGTGGGATGCTGGTCCTGAACCCTGTAAAAAGGTTTGAGCATTTTTAAAAAGAAAACTGCCTCCCAATTGGTTGAGACTCATTGGGATGTCTGATGAAGGGAGACTACAAAACAGGTGGAGAGAGAGTATTTACAAGGGCCTGGAGTGACAGGACAAGGGGGAACGGCTTCAAACTGAAATTAGGTTTAGATTAGAGATTAGGAGGAAATTCTTCCCTGTGAGGGTGGGGAGGACTTGGCAACACAGGTTGCCCAGAGAAGCTGTGGCTGCCCCATCCCTGGAAGTGTCCAAGGCCAGGCTGGACAGGGCTTGGAACAACCTGGTCCAGTGGAAGATGTCCCTGCTCATGGCAGGGGCTGGAACTGGATGATCTTTAAGACTCCTTCCAACCCAAACCATTCCATGATTCTATGAGTCTACGCTTGGGAAAACAACCCAAAACCAACAGTCACACACTGTGAGAGCCAGCCACCTGGGACACTCCTTTCCCCATTAAATAACCCTGTTTTTACACACCTGAAGAGCAGGGGGAAGGTGTCCTCTGCCAGCTGGTTTCTTTAAACCAGTGGGACTGTTTTGGCCAGTGAGTCAGAAGTAGCATTTTCTGGGGCTGCAGAGCCAGCAGCTGTCCCAGCAGGGGCAGAACCCCCAGCAGAAAGATGAAGGACACGTAGCAGTAAATACAGCTCAGAGCTCACCCAGCACAGCCAGCTTGCCTGCCTGCCAGCTGCCCAGTCCAGGAGGACAGACAGAAAGTGGTAAGGAACAGAATATGCCCCTGAGAGCAGAGGGGGGAACACAGGACCCCCCCAGAGGTGAAACAGCCAGGCAGCCAAAATGCTGATGCAGAATTATGGCACAGGTAATAATAAATCTGCAACAAACCCTCCAACAACCTCTTCAGAGCCTGAGAGGAGTCCAACCAAAGAGCTTCCCTTCAGGACAGACACTGACTCAGCTCAGGGGAAACCTCTCCAGGCTTGTACCCTCCTTTCACAGCAAGAGGATTTCCCCCACTCCTTGGATCCAGGATGGAGAGCACGATATCCCTCTTTAATTAGCGTAACTAGAAAGTTAAAACGTTCCTGCAATTCTCCAAAGCCTTTCCAAGGGGTGAGTGTTGAGGGCACGGCAGAACTGCCTCGTGCATTAGGGCTCCCTTCCCCTTCATACATTGTTAAAGATTAATTTTGTGGGTTATGATTCCAGCTAACGAAGCACAGCTGGAGTTTGAGTCAATAAACCCTCCGTCCCCCCAGACAATTGAGCTCCCACCCGGCCGCTCCTGCGTCAGCCCAGCCCTCCGTCACTCACCACTTCACCCTCCCAGGGTCTTTTGACACCATTAATTGCTTTCATTGCCTCTCAAAGTATTGTCTGGGTGGGGGGTTGCTTTGTTTTTAAAAAATCACAGACAGGCATATTTCCTTTCCCCAGGAAAAAAATCAGATGGGGGACCGGCACGCTATTTAAAGTCACCCACTATCCAGAGATTCTACTGCAATTAAAAAAAAAAAAAAAATAATAAAACCAACAACCTGGGGACAGCAGCAGCAGGTTACCCAAGTAGAGAAGCCTGGAAGCCCCATCGTTCTTGCCATGAAAGGCAAGGACCGTCGGAAAGATGGAAAAGAAAACAGTGGGGATGTTTCTTCCCTTCCAGAGAGCTGGGGGGGAAATTCCGCTCCGGGTGGCTAAACAAGGTCAGCGGAGTTACAAAATAAAACCTCTCTTTCCCCCCCACCCATCCAACCCCCTCGTGGCTCTCCCCTGGAGCCCCGTCCTCCCAGCCACGAATTCCAAAATCCAAAAGTGTTGCATAAGAGCCCTGGGAGAGCTCGCAGATGGAATGACGGGCGGAGAGCATGGGACTTGGGGGAGAGACAGGAAGGGAGGGTTAGGAAAGGTTTCCTGCCCTGGGAGCTA